CCACGTACGGAAATGTAGTAGCTAATAAAAGAGATACATTTGTCTCTCAAATTAAGCACCTGTATTATATTCTCATAGAATGATTCTGTAGATCAAAAAGGTCCAAAACGTAGTGAAATACCGTTAAGCACATCACATTTCATAGAGATTCCATTCTCTCTTTTTTTATACTCTTACTAATAAATACCATTAGACCTTAAAGGACCACTATAGGCACCCAGATCACTTCAGCTCATGGTAGGTATACCACTGACTGAGAGCACACTTGATTTAGAAATTGTAACGGACCGTTTCAGCACACAAGGGGTTAAAACCGTTTAGGCGATCGTCCCCTTTCAGAGATGCAGGCACTATTCTGGACCGGCTGCAGAGGCTATGAGTGTGTTTTTCAGGAGCACATGGCGCTCATTGCCCTGATGAGATTATTCATACCAAATCACCTTCCCAGATAGTTTACTCAGTCACAACTCACATGTAAGAAGATCTGGCGGTGTTTATTCGTCATATGATCTGTAGGATGTGCAGTTACGACATGTAAAAGAACAATTCTTCCATACAGGATAGCAGAGAAACAAGTCACACACGAATGTACAGCATAGAACACACCAGAACAGAAAAAGGGTGAGGGGAGTACCTGGAGCAGCATGCACACTATGGAGTGGCCCAAAGGACAAACTTAAGATGAACATTAAAGAAACAGTACGTTATAATAAAACAATATCATGTAACATGACAGACACAGCTACTGCAGAACACCAAACTCCCGAACAGGATACCAAGTAGCACTCCAAATTCCAGAACTGGAACCTCACGAATAGCTGAACAGGAAAAGCACCCAAGCAGCTTACATTACAGCTTACACTCCTGGCAATCAGTCTCTAACAGCATACAGTAAATCCCCCCAAGAACGAGACAAAGCTCTGTGTTGAGGGTCAAGCAGTGAACAGACAGAGCTGTGGGTTTATTGTGCTTATGTACACATTCTTACACATTAGTACCACCCACAGGGTTTTGGAAACACAACCAATAAACACATACAATACACTCAGATACTCCCACACAAATTCCTCCCCTCTGCATGTGATTCAATTACCTTACACAATGGGTAATGTAATTTAGCACAAGCAGAGAAATACAATTTTTCCACATTATTCATAACTTGAAAAGTATGCACCACATTCACATAAAACTTACATTTTCAGAATCAGCATACTCCAAATACAAACATACGTCAAAATCATACAAATTGGTCCAGTGGTTCAAAAGATAGATCGTAGTCCTTTGTGACCACAGGAAGCATGGCTTTTCTGCCCAAAACCAGTTCCACAGAGTCTTCTATCCTGGAGATAATTAGAAGTAATCCAATTATCTCCAAAGACAGAGGCAAAACTCCATTGAACACATGGCAGCAAAAAGACAGTAAAATACAGTAAAATACACAAGGTTACATTTATGACATAAAATACAGACATGCAACATATGCCCAGATAGCTTAGGTCTGAGCGCACATTAATACTGAATGGCGCTCAGACCACAAACACATACAGTTCAATTGCCATGGAGCCAAAGTCTTTTATTACATGAATAGGCTCCATGGCATACCTATCTGGGTTATATGAGTTCATTCAGTAAATCCGAGAATCTACCGAACACCGGGCAGAAAAGCACGAATAAGTCTTTTCTGCAGTGAAAAGGATGTCTTTTAACATGGGGCCATAGTCCAAAGGCAGCAGGCGAGCAACCAGGCTTCTCCAATGCTCTCGTCACAGAAATGTTTTTCAGTTCAGCTAGCTTTCGATATGAAATTTGCTAACCCTGTCAGACATAGCCCAAGAGTATGCTATGTGGAAATGCAGCTTATTCCCACACTGTAATGCTACTAATATGTTTTCTAAAATGCCCTGACCTTATGTTTGAAGCTGCTACATATTTATGTACTGGGATGATATTAATTGTTTTGTTAAATTCTGCTAATTACCACACTGAGATGCTGCTATTTAGTACATTAGTATGCTACTACTGTAGGTGGCAAATGCAAATTGTTATACCCTGTGTTGTCACTAGATTTGGTGTTACCAAGTGTGGAAACTCATGGTGTCTACGGACTCCACGGGAACTTCCTTCCATACCAGTCCATATCAGTGGCTAAAAAAATAGCGAAAGCAATGAACACAACTTGTGTTTCTGTGTGCTGGGATGGGGTCATGTTGTGTGGGTGGTGGGATATTCTGTGTGTGCATAAAGAGGGTGCAGGTAACATCTAACGTCATGCATTTTGCAATATTTACAATTCAAAAAACAAAACAAAACATTTTCTTCCAGTTTCCTCTTGTTACTTTGGGGCAAGGGGGTAGGGAAATGACACAGCACACTCTGCATGGGCCGGCCAGTGCCAAACCGTCTGTATGGGTCACCCATTGTGGTCAACACACCCTATCACACAATTGACACCACTGATTACACAGCAAGACAGGAGAGGATGAGGCAAATAGGGCCAGTGCCAGTGGCAGAAGCGCATGCCAGTTGTATATAGTACACATGCTTAGTGTAGCTTTACTTATTAAAGGTCTATGTGCCTACATATAGACAGTAATTATTTTTCGGTTAATTGATTGTTTTAAAGAATTCATTTGTGCAAAACATCCATTTTGTGTAGCAAATTGCTTACCTGCTCATGTGAGTGAAGAAATGTTTTATTCCTGTACTTAAGCAATCCCTTGTGTTAGCCTTTGACACCTGAAATGTATACTTTCATCAAAACCAGCTGTACTGGCTTTGTACTGGCTGTGTTCTTGTCAAAGGTTTCATACGTGTCTCCATTTCTTCTTCACCGCCCCCTCACCTCTCCCCACCACCCCCAACAACTACTATTCAATGTGGTTATTGGTTTGGATATATGCTGTGACACTAGTGAATCCTACACGGTTATAAATGGCTGCGCTTCTGGAAGGTCATGGCAACAGAACACATTCCTCTAGTTTCTGGCTCATATTTCCAATTATATTCCTGTCCAGAATTCAGCAACATAATTTCAGGGTCCTCATGCACTAAAGAGAGTTAGCGGCATTGTTACTGCACTGTGTGAGCATATTTAGCAATGTCCTTGAACCCAGCTAGCACATTAGTACGAATGTATCCAAATGAAAATGATAACTTATGGTAATTTGATTTCCACATGGTTGCTTGAAATCCCCATGGACAAAAGCATAAACAGTCATTTTATTTAAATGTTTGAAACAGTGCGCTATAACCTGGTCATAAACCATTATCAGCTGCACATTTGGCTCGTTTCATAGTTTGTATATAAAGAATTTGCCAGTGGAATAATTAGAGGGTTTTTTTCTACTAAATTACAAACTGCAGTGAATAGAAATCAGAATTTCAAAAAATGTAGGGAAACATAGCTTGTTTGAAAAAAATTCTCCAACACAGCTTTAGTCACAACTTTAGTGTTCTATTCATATTTAAATTTTCTACATTTCTAAGTTTGTTGAATAAACCTGACAGATATGAGTTATATATATCTTGGTCCTATTTCTAGCATTTACACGTCTGTTTCTAGTATACAGATGTTTACATTAACAGTTGCTATTTCCCTTTACCTACATTTTGGTGGCGTATTGATCATTATGAATTTGAAGATCCACATATCTTTGTGTATTGAAAACTATAGATATAAGTAAAATAACAGAAGATACATCCAACCTGTTTATTAATTTAAGTTTAAAATATTAATAAAACAAAACAGACAGAGACCTGACAGGGTCCAATGTCATGTGCCAGCTAGACAGAACCAAGACTGTCTATGGGCTTAACCCTGATTGATTCAAACACACAAAACAATAATAGGTGGACTACTCCTATGATGGTAATGGTGTAGTCTGACCTAGTAATTCAAATATAAATCTCTTCAGAAAGGAAATTAAAAAAGATTATAGTGTAGTTAAAATTATACAATGTAACACTCAGCTAGTGCAAGTTAAACTAAATATTGTATCTTTGTTATCACATGAATAATCTTCCTTTGTAAAACTTCCTGAATGAAATGCAGAATTCAGAACCTTGCTTTAATATCACAGTCTTCATTTTGCCGACTAACAAGTTTAGTTGAATTTTAGTTGACTAACAATTTTAGTCAACTAAAACTAGACTAAAACTAAAACAATTCAGGATGACTAAAATATGACTAAAACTAAATTGAAATTTGCAGCCAAAATTAACACTGGTTCCAACAAGGTCATCTGACTAAATATATAATACAAATTTTAAATAATCAAAGATGACTTATATTAAGTATTGTTAGTTACACTTACTCAAGCTGTGTAAGCTGTATTTTTTATATTCTTTATTTTTCAGGGGAAAATGAAAAATACAAGCAGTTAAAGACATTTCAGCTGGTAAACATTTGATAATAAAGGGTATATGCTAATAATGTCGAGAGTACAGCACTCATTTTTTTAGAGCGCAAAATCTGCTTTAATCAAGAAACCATATCTGAGTGAATGACTAGTGAGAGGTATGGAAGGGATAGAAGACATGGAGAACATCAACCAGGCCACAATGTCAGCAATGAGAGCAGTGCGCAGGCTGCATATATAAAATTAAATAAAACAAGAAGGCAAATCCTATGCACATTGGAGGAAAATCAACATATGTGTTCTAATAGCAAACACAATCACCGTAGCAATGTAGAAATACAGGAGCCATCCCCATGACACATGAGACCCTGGGATCAGCTGATGCCAGATTTGCAAAGCCGCTGAGTTCTGTCAAGGTTGGGGTCAGGACTATGTCCAGTAAGGCAGACACTATGGTTTCATGCTGGGTTCCTTTCAGCTGCAACAACTTGACTTGACAGTCAGGGCAGATAAATGGTGAGTATAGGGCAAGTGTATAATCTCCGGCTTGGTAGTCATCTTTAGCAATCTTCGGTCCAGTAGTAGGGGTGTCATGCTTGAGAGCAGAATCTTCAGCCTCTAGGGAGGAGGACCATTGTTTGAGGTCTCGGCTGCTTGGTGCATCAGCTATTGTCAGCTCGGCTGGGTCTCCTTCACGCTCCACAGCAGGTGAAAAATGTTGTGGGATCAGTGGGGAGCCCCTCTGTCTCTCTGCAATGCGGAGCCAGAAGGCTGTAAAAATACCATCCAGCTATTGGAGAATAGAATGAGGCTCTGTTGCTTTAGAAGGCCCTTTTGTGACCTCCGCCATCTTTGGTGCTGATAGTGCTGCCCCAGAGCATAGGGTCATTCTCCTGGGACTGTGATAATCCCCACCGGTCCATGGGGAGAGGGAACGAGGGCCCAAAATCAAGATTTCAGCTGTGTGTGGTGGCGGAGGAGCGGCCACCTCCTCCGCGCCGACCATGCTTGCAGGCCACATGCAGTGCTCGGGTGAATCCCACATGAAAGACTGCCTATTTAGTACCCGCATAAGCACCTTGGTGTCATCTCTAGCTTGGTAGCCCATATGTGTCGTGCAAAGGCTGTGTTTTGCTGTTTTTCCACAATATTTGTAGTAAAGAGCAGGAGCTGTATCAACAAGCGTGTGTTCAGATCAGCAGTCAGGCCCCGCCCCTAAAATTGTATGATTTTAACTACACCATAATCTATTTTTGGTTTCCTTTCTACCTGAGGGGATTTATATCTGAATTACCAAACTACACCACTAACATCATATAAGATTAAAATATGTAATTTAGATTTTCAGAGAATTGAACGATTCCAAACATTGATCACTCTTTCCAACTGTATTTAATAAATTGGCATGCCCATAATTGGTTCTTTATTTTGGGTTCTTTTTCAAAACATTCCCTGTGACTGGCAGTACTCACTCATCTCAGGGTGCCAATGAAGCCTTGGATGTTGGTCCTTGTTGGTTATGGCGACTTTGGCTCCTGCTCCCTGGTTGGCATCCTCTGCACCTCGGCCCATAGCTTAGGAACTCGCAGAGGTCATTCCGTCCATTTGAGATGGTGGCTGCCATGTGATGGAAAACATCATCCTCAGACACCATATTGGAAACTGGAAAAACTAAAAAGGGCCCTTAAAGGGACACTCTACTACTCTATACTTTTTAGCAGATATACTCCAACCCCCCCCCCCAAAAAAACAGGACACTTTCCCCATCTAAGAGCACTTTAGCAGGGCTCTGTGCATAAAGGTCCCAAGAGGGGCATTATACTAACATACTAATTATGGGCTGTTTGCTAGTCATTAATAGCATTTCCCCTTTCTGACGCCCCCCGACCTATTGGGAAGCTCTGTCTTCAACTGCATACATACAGATACACACGTTAACTTGATAGGACTGGCCTAGTCCTGACCTAAGGACTATGTGAGGAGAAAGTAGAAGATTGGGATACTAGTGCAAGATTACCAAAGGCATCCCAAGGGCATGATGTACTGTCATGAAGGTTGCCGGGAATGGCAATGGGTAGCAAGTAGCATTAAAGTGTGAAGTAACATGTACAATAACATCATGGAAGTTGAAGATGAAGAACATGTAGACTCATTCCGTTATTTCATTGCATGTGTCCTGGAATCTACTAAAGATCAAATTTATTGTGCCGTCATATGCACTTTCATGTTTTAGTGCTGTTACTTTGTAGACTTACAGTATAAATTTTACCATTACAATTGTGATCACGGTTGGTAATTTTACGAATTTAAATACATTTGAATACATTTGGACTCAGAGCCCAGAACTACAAATTTAAATAAAAAGAGAATGAATTTGGCATTTCACAAGTTAAAAGAAATCCTTCCTTGCTCAGAAAAAAATTATAAAGCAAAATGAAATCACCATGGTTATTGCTGTTAAAAAAAATAAATCTATACTTTCTACCAAAAATAACTACATGAAACTTTCAATGTATCTGTAAGGCTTTTTTCTGCATGATAAACATCCCAATTATATGAGCACCCTGAAGCGTACATGCATAGGTAAAGCTATGTATGTTGTCTTGATGTCTTCAATCTAATGAAACTTTAAAGAAAAAGAAGTGAAGTTCTTTCAAGCAATTTCTCACAATCACTAAGCTGATTTAAAAAAATTATAAAAATAAATGTTATATATGAATTTAAGGCAGAGATATGAAATAAGGAAATCATAGTTACATAGTTACATAGTTACATAGCTGAAAAGAGACTTGCGTCCATCAAGTTCAGCCTACCTCACATTTGTTTTTTGCTGTTGATCCAAAAGAAGGCAAAAAAACCCAGTTTGAAGCACAATTTTGCAACAAGCTAGGAAAAAAATTCCTTCTTGACCCCAGAATGGCAGTCAGATTTATCCTTGGATCAAACAGTTATTACCCTACATTGAAAGATTATATCCTTGAATATTCTGTTCTTGCAAGTATGCATCTAGTAGCCGTTTGAACATCTGTATGGACTCTGATAAAACCACTTCCTCAGGCAGAGAATTCCACATCCTGATTGTTCTTACAGTAAAAAAACCTTTCCTTTGCCTTAGACGAAATCTTCTTTCTTCCAGTCTAAACGCATGGCCTCGTGTCCTATGTAAAGTCCGGTTTGTGAATAGATTTCCACACAATGGTTTGTATTGGCCCCGAATATATTTGTATAATGTTATCATATCCCCTCTCAGGCGACGTTTTTCTAAACTAAATAGGTTTAAATTTGTTAACCTTTCTTCATAGCCGATATGTTCCATTCCTTTTATTAATTTTGTAGCCCGCCTCTGCACTTTTTCTAGTGCCATAATATCCTTCTTTAGAACAGGTGCCCAAAATTGCACAGCATATTCAATATGGGGTCTTACCAGTGATTTATAAAGAAGCAAAATTATATTCTCGTCCCGAGAATGAATGCCCTTTTTCATGCATGACAATACCTTACTGGCCTTGGCCACTGCTGATTGACATTGCACATTGTTGCATAGTTTGTAGTCTATAACAATTCCCAAGTCCTTTTCATGTGTTGTTATCCCTAATTCGCTTCCATTAAGGGTATACGTTGCTTGTGTATTCTTTACGCCGAAGTGGATAAGTTTGCATTTTTCAACATTAAATTTCATCTGCCATTTGAGTGCCCAGTCCCCCAGTCTATCTAAATCCCTCTGCAGCAAAGTAATATCTTGCTCGCATTGTATTGTTTTACAAAGTTTGGTGTCATCTGCAAACACTGAAACATGACTTTCAATGCGGTCTTCAAGATCATTTATAAATCATTAATCAATTCTGCTTCCTGGAGCATTGGTACATTTACAGACATGTAGAAGACCATAGGCCTGAATTTGTGGGAGGAGTTTGCCTATATTAACGCAAGTCTCCTACTCACCTATGCAATTTCTGCTGTTTGATCCCACCGTCACCTATCTTACTATTACATTACCCTTGGTTGGCCCTCTTTTATTACAGGCCTACCCGTACGTTGGTTTCTGCACAACACCACCAACTGACACCACCTACAACATTACATATATCATTAAGTTCCGACCCCAAATAAAATTAAGCCATGTTCTAAAACTCCCATTACTCTTGGGCAGCAGCAATGACTATAGTACACATCAGCCCCAATACATGCACTGTTCACATAACAGTATTTTGCATATATTTTTATTGGTCTTTACGACAGCACCGCGATTTAGAACTGCATGTTCTGAGTGTGTCGCTTGTGGGAGAACCACTGTCCGTTTGTGGATTTCCCCAATTTTCCTTTCACATGTATTTCCAATGTCTTTTCGTTAGTTTGGCCCGGACCACCACAACCTCATTTAGAATGTTAGTATTTAATGTTCACAACTCTCAATAACCTCGCAACATAAGTGTCGAAACCCCAAACCACAAGGGAAACAATTAGTTATTCCCTGGGAAGCCGCCATTCATACAGATGAACGAAAAGGTGAGCATTCGTAGATTGTTTCCCGACACGTTCGTATCCCGAACAAGGGCCACCCCGGTGCCCCATTAGAACGTTCACACCAATTAACCAGAACGCTCGCACCCGCAACATAGGTGTGAAACCGCAAGGGAAGTAATTAATGAGAGCTTCTCTGGGTGACTGCCATTCGTACAGATGTACGCCATCCAGGGTGTGCATTCGTACCCTGAAAAGAGATGCTTAACTTGCCTGGGTTTCACACCAGGACCTTGCAAATGGAAACTAGTCGGTCAAAGGACCGAGGTGAGGATCCCTGAGATTGGTGTGGGCACTTCTGGGGCACTGGCGAGTTTTGGCAGGCTCTCATTAGCCTGAGGGACAACGAGACCAGCTCTTTTCCCGCTGTCGGGCTTTTCTGTGCCTGGGGCACAAAGGGACAGTCCCTTTTTCCAGCGCCTAGACTTCCAGGCACAGAGGCTCTTGGGAAGAAGACCCCTGGCGGTTGGTGTGGGGAACCCCAGGGATTTAGTGGCGGGCTTTGGGGACAAAGGGAACTGAGTCCCTTCCCGCACTGGGACCTCGGGGAGGTGGTGGATTGTGGGATGTGTCTTCATATGTGTGTGTGTGTTCCATCCCTTACACAGGGTATACATAAAAGCCATGTGGGGCGAATAAAATTGTGTTGAACCTCCAGGACTGCGTGTCGTCCGGTTACTGGGGGGAAATGGGTCCCTTTACACTCTGAGTGGTTCCTGAGTGGCTGAAGGCAAGAAATTAGCTGAGGTAACCAGTTGGGTTACCAGGGGTCCACTACACCCCTAATTAAAAAAAATCTGTATTTGCTTTTGTATTACACAGCCATGTTACAGTGCTGCTGCCCACCCCTTGTGTCCCCTATTAAGGGTTAATAAGTGTGTATGGGTTTAGAAATATACCCCTCTTTGTCTCAATGACCATTAGAAAGATACTAAAAAACTTGGCATTGGCAAATTTAGAAGAGAAATCAGGGTGTATACATAAGCAACACTAGCCAGTATTCTTGGAAAACATCAGAAATAAGTCAAGTATGGTCAATATTTCATGATATTACATAGTTACACAGACTTAAAAGAGCCTTTCTCACAAATGTTTTTGCAGTTGAATCCAAAAGAAGGCAAAAATATCAGTTTCAAGCTCTTTCTAATATTGCAAAAAACCTTGTCAGATTGCAAAATACTAATTTAAGGTCTGTACAACAGTGGAAAATACACACTCTGTAAAATTGC